GAACGTCGATGTCCGTGCCCGATTCTCACCCCCCTCTGGCGTCAAGGTCAGTTTGGATGGAACTAAGGCAACCCCCAGCCCACGGGGGGGGCGGTTAAGACAGACAGACGGATGTGGAGGGGGAAAGGGGGGGGCTCCCCTTTGGTTGGGGCCTTTGTGTGTGTTGTCTCCCCCCCCCATCTCCCCCCTCCCAAAAAAAAAACCCAAACAAATCCAAAACAAACCCAAAACAACCACCCGTGGGCTCAGAAAATATCCGGGCACAAGGTCCAGTCCTGCTTCTCTTTGCTCTCCCAGTACCCGCCCCTGTAGACGTGCGCCAGCTCCTGGGTGACGGGGTCCTTCTTGCGCTCGAACCACAGCGGCTTGTAGGGGTCGTAGGGGGTGCCTGGGGGGGGCACAGGGAGGCGAGGATGAGGAGGGTGAGGATAAAGAGGTCACTCGTCCCATGTCCCCTCCATCCCCAGGGGCCCGGATTGTTCCTTCTATTCCTGGGGTCACAGAGTGTCCCCAATCCTGTCCCCAATGACCCATTGTCCTCTCCATCCCTCCAGATTGTCTCCTCCACCCCCAGGGTCCCAGAGTGTCCCCTCCATTCCTGGAGTCCCAGAGTGTCCCCAACTCTGTCCCAAATGCCCCACTGTCCCCTCCATCCCCTGGGTCCCAGAGTGTCCCCAAGCCTGTCCCCAATGCCCCATTGTCCCCTCCATTCCTGGGGTCTCAGAGTGTCCCCAACTCAGTCCCCAATGCCCCACTGTCCCCTCCATCCCTCCAGAGTGTCCCCTCCGTTCCTGGGGTCCCAGAGTGTCCCCAACCTGGTCCCCAGCGCCTCTATGTCCCCTCCATCCCCTGGGTCCCAGAGTGTCCCCAACCCTGTCCCCAATGCCCCACTGTCCCCTCCATTCCTCCAGATTGTCTCCTCCATCCCCTGGGTCCCAGAGTGTCCCCAACCCTGTCCCCAATGCCCCACTGTCCCCTCCATCCCTCCAGAGTGTCCCCTCCGTTCCTGGGGTCCCAGAGTGTCCCCAACTCAGTCCCCAATGCCCCACTGTCTCCTCCATTCCTGGGGTCCCAGAGCGTCCCCAACTCTGTCCCCAATGCCCCATTATCCCCTCCATCCCTTCAGATTGTCCCCTCCATCCCTGGGGTCCCAGAGTGTCCCCAACCCTGTCCCCAATGCCCCACTGTCCCCTCCATTCCTGGGGTCATAGAGTGTCCCCAACGCCCCATTGTCCCCTCTATCCCCAGGGTCCCAGAGTGTCCCCAGCCCTGTCCCAAAAGCCCCATTGTCCCCTCCATCCCCAGGGTCCCAGAACATCCCCAACCCCATCTTCACTCCTCCTCCATGTCCCCTCCATCCCCAGGGTCCTGGCCTGTCCCCCCCCAGCCCCACACCATTCCCTCCATCCCCCAGCTCCCAGAGCATCCCCCAACCTTGTCCCCACGTCCCCTCCACCCCCAGTGTCCCCACCGTGTCCCCCTGCCCTTCCCGGCTGTCCCCACCTTGCCGAAGACGGTGTTGAGGAAGGGGGGGGAGG